TATTTTTTTTTTTTTTTTTTTTTTGCCTTTGCATGCACTAAAGAAAGGTGGGCAATTAAGATTGACGGTGATGCCTTGATGAGGAGCTTGCATGCAGCCACCTTTTCATTCTCTTCCAAGTCCACAACCAGCAAATAAAAATAGAAATAAGAGGAGAACTCTCCTATCTTGTGTGCTTAGTGAGTGTGTTGAGTAGTGAATTAAGTGGTAAAATGAAAGTTGACATTGGGTCGACTTTTAACATATAGGTATGCAAGGATATATATTTATATACATATACAATAATTAAATTACACATAGTAGTGATCATTTAAATAAATTTCTACAAGTGAATTAATTTTCACTCATCCAAATATCAACAACACAAATCCAAGAATTTAAGTAGGTTAATTTAATTCTAAGAAATTAATTAATATTTAAAGAAAGAGAGGTTCACTAATCTCATCGACAAAGTCGTTCCCATATCGATATCAAGTGAGAACAATACTAGTTACATGTAATATAATTGAGAAATATATATTGTTAATTTTCAAAATAACAAATAAATAAAAATAAAAAATATTCTGAAATGATATTGTTGAGCATTATATTAGTGATTGAAAAAGACTTTGTGCAGTTGTTGGTGAGGCCATTCTAAATTGAGTGTCATGAACGCTGATCGAGTGTGGCAAAGCCCCAAAGGATTTGTCCTGACCCTCTAGCTCCAGTCGGCTTATTTATTTATTTGAACATAGAAAAAGAAATTAAACGGTGGTGGTCAAAGTTACAAAAGGACGGTGTCAATGACATGGCCATAGCCACCTTCGTATACGACTCTTCTTTATCTAGAACATTGTCTTCCTCTTCGACACAATTCCTAGCGTGTCATGCGCACGGACACATCAAAATTTCAAAGGCTGAATATTTTATTGTTGCTGAAAACCGTAAAGAGGCCAAGTACGATAGCAACTTTCATCATAAAGTAGTATCTCTTAATATAATATTTGTATGACCAGAAGGAAACTCATTGCCCTACATATACACACGTGTCTCTCCACCTAATCTTTTGCTTCTACGGTCAATTGCAACTTCATTTCAAGTACTACGTTCTGGCCCTTCTTTGTCTTGTATTTGTCTTTAGGTCAAAACCCATGTTTTCATTTTTCCGCTGGTTTCAACAAAACAGGCAGGATTAATATATTTATGGCAAAAATCCTATTTTGCTCAATTATATTAATTATTTGTTTCAATTTAGTTTCACTTTTATTTTTGTTTCAATTTGATCTCAAACTAATTAATTAATTTTAATTTAGTCCCAAATTAATTAATTGGTTTCATTGTGAGACTTCCGTCCAAATTATTTAAATGGAGTTAACTTTTAGCCACGTGGATGCCACGTAGATGCATACGTGGATGCCACAATTAAGTCAAGAATATTATATTCTCAATTTTGGAACGGGCCGTTCTGAAACCAGAACGGGTTAATTTTTGCATCTGGAACGGCCCGTTTCAGTTGCAAAATTAACACACCAAAAGTGCAACCAGAACGGCCCGTTCTGGTTTCAGAACGGGCCGTTCTGGGTCCAGGTGTTTTCAAAAAAATTGTCATCCACATGGCTCCACGTATGTATCTACGTGACATCCACGTGATCAAAAGTTAACTCTGTTTAAATAATTTGGACGAAAGTCTCACATTGAAACCAAATAATTAATTTGAGACTAAATTGAAATCAATTAATTAGTTTGAGACCAAATTAAAATAAAAAATAAAAGTGGAACTAAATTAAAACAAACAATTAATATAAGGGAGCAAAATATGGTTTTAGCCTATATTTCTAATCAGAAATTTGTTGAAGGTGCTGGAGGTAGTCTTCTGATGGGTGCATTTAATGTACATTGAGGCACATAGTAAAAAGAAATGCTTATAATTTTTTTGTTTGGTATATTATTTGGTGAATGATAATATAAAAATAAATAAAATAATATTAAACTTATTACAATATTTTTAATATTAAATACTATAATAAATTATTATTATTTTAATAAAGATGGTAATAAAAAAATTATGATAACAATAATAATATTGATAATTATGACAACAATTATAAACAATAATATTTCTCTTACTAATTTTTATTATTAGTTAATATAGTCATCAACATTCTTTTCAGCATATTTTTTTTACAGAAATATTTTCATTTATTTATTTTTGAAAACCCCAATCTTTTAATTCTTAATTTTAATAAATAATTTTGTATGGTGTTAAATTTGCTTTATTAAAAAAAATAGGCCAGCTTTCAAAAGTTGTAAACATTATGCTTTTTGTTACATATGTACTACATTGAAAAATTAGGGCACATGGAAGCAACTCATTTGAGTTGCTTCATGCATTGAAAAATGAAATTAGTGATTTTCAGTGTGCCATGTCAAAATTAAGTAACTCAAACACAAATTTACTCTAATGGTAAGAAACTTTAAGAAATCTAACTTTTAGAATTTTTTTCTAATCATTTATGAACCAAATTTAAATTTTTATTAAAAAAGATAATTATACTACAATGAAAGAAAATAAATTACAAGAAAAAATATAAATAAAATAATAGTAAATACATAAACATTATACAAAATTAATTTTTATCATTATTATTTTCGAAACGTTTTGCAAATATGTTCAATAAAATCTGCTTGAAATCTGGTAAGGAACGGTTGTTTGAGGAAGCAACTCTCTCTCTCCTTCAAACAACTCATGTTTTTTTTTTTTGAACGGCAAATGTTAATGGTTAGTTTGTTAGTTGTTAGTGGGGAGATTCGAACCCACACCCTCTTAGTCACTCAACCCTATATCCCTCTCCCCAAACCACATGGACCACCCTTATCACTCCTTCAGAGTTCTCCAATGACAAGAAACCGAGGCTTGAGTTGCTTCATAGGACAATCAACTCCCATTGAAGTTGCTCTTAGTGACATTACAAAGGCCCGAGGCTTGAGTCGTTTCATGGGACAAGCAACTCCTATTGGAGTTGCTCTTAGTGACATTACAAAGGCATTAAAATTATTTTCCATTAATTAGTACAAATTTTGTTTAATAACAATTTTTTTTTTTGCTCGTGGAGTATCAACAGCGACTAATCTCCTCGTTATATTGGAGGCACCTCAAAGGGTAGGATAGCTAACCCCAAAATTTAACGTAACTGCATATACAAGGCAAGATTCGAACCTCTGACCTTGTTTAAGCGTGAATCAACTCCTACCGTTGAACCACATTATAGTATATGGATTGCAAGTTTATACTAAAAGTGTGGTATTTTGCATTATATTGATATTTTTTGCATTATACCCTAGAAGAGACTGTCTGCTTAAAAAGACTTGAAAATTCAGTAGTCAGACTCTTATCACATTCCGGAAAGGATATATTTTATCATATTCTCAAAATAAACTCATAATATTTATATTAATAGTTTAATTTTTTCCTAACAAAAATTATACTAATATATTAACATTAATTTAATCTTAATATCTTGTTGTATATAACGAATAAATACTTATTCTAATATATTTGTCTATAATATATGCAACTTAAATAACTTTTATAATATATTATCAATTCTAAATTATATATTTAATAATATAATATCTATGTAGATATTACATATATTATTTTGTAATATTAATTGTAAATATATTATATATATACATATTATTTATATTTTTAATTTGTATTAATATATAGTTTAACATGTAATTTTTTTAATGTATTTCTTTATACAAAATAAAAATAAAGATAATTTTAAATAAGATGAAAACTGGAATTTAAAATAGGATATGAATTTATCGAAATTTATAAGTATAAAATATATTTAACATGAATATTTTTTAAAAAAATTAATAAAAATTGAGTCATGCGGTTCAATTAATGACCTACTGGTTTAACCTTTGACCTACTGACCTCAGTACCTTAACCGATTTGATAACCAATCGAGTTTTAAAACTATGGCTAAGAGTGTGTAAAAAGTTACGGCGTAGTCCCGTATAATTAAAAAAAATGGGATACCGAACTTGGTTGGTTTGTTTTCGTGGTTTCTTGGAACACACACATTCCAATTCGATCCTTCCCCGGCGTGTCACATATGTTTCCTGCATACACATTACACAACACAACAATCGTTACTTTCATTCTTCTTCGTACCAGACACTTCCTTCTCGTAAGTAGTGGTTTTGGTTACATTACATCATTGTATTTCTACTGTTTCAGAATTCCTTCCTTCTCTTCTCCCTACTCCGCACTTGCATTATTTTCAATCTGACTCCAAATTTCACATCGAATATAATTTCTGTTCCACTCACTTTTTCGCTCCTGCATCCTGACACACGCTTCGTATAAAATTTAGCCCTCATTTCCAACTTGATAATGTCTTTTAGTGGTGAAAATTCTACCGTTAAAAAACAATGACATGATTTTCAAGTGTGAAAGGTGTAACAATTCAATCGTCGATTTTGATGCTTTAATTCCGGTTTTATTGTCAAAAATTTTATACTGTGAAAATTTATTTCTGCCAACAGTTTTCAAGGCAAGGTATCTATACTGAATAGATTTGCATGTATGCATAAATGCACGTTTTCAGTATCGTTGTCCTTACAAATGACAAGTCCGAAGGCGGAGTCCGAAGACAGGGAAGTGATTATAGGGAGAGGTGAAGGAGAAAACGAGTCATGTTCTGGTTTTCAGGGATTGAAGTTTGATTTTGGTAGTGGTAGCAAGAGTAGGACCAAAAGTTTTCATCCTCCAATTGAAACGCATTGGTGTCTCAATTCGTCACCAGGAAAAAAGGCTTCGTCTTCTATTAAGTCAGTGTTGTCTTACCCACTCGCGAAATTTAGAAAGAGTAAAAGTCTTAAAATGATTCTAGAAGGAGCCCGTGATCCTAAGGATAAACAAATTGTTGAGTCTTTTCGCGAAATGCTGATACAAGAAGACCTCTTGCCACCAAAGCACGATGATTATCATACTCTTCTAAGGTATCTGTGTCTCTTAATTGTTGTTATTCTATCACAGGTTTTATTGCGGAATTGGTTTTCTAACCACATTGATTGCCTTTCATGTAAGGTTTCTGCGCATGAGGGATTTCGACGTGTCAAAATCCAAAGAGATGTTTCAAAATTATCTGAAATGGCGCAAGGAATTTCGAGTAGACGTGCTTCCAAAGGTTAACAACTTTAAACTTCCGCACACATTCCTTTTTTAGTACGAAATTTCTGTTTGATCGATACATGCCGCTTTGTGGTTATGGTTTTAATCATTCTATCTGTGATGTCTGTTATGGAAGTTATTGAAAAGTTTATCCAAAACTGAAACTTCTCAAGAATGAACTTAGAATTTCACCTCTTCATATTAATGTAATTTTGTTTAAAATCATTAAGTTATTTAACTTTGTGCATTCACGCTACCATTCAGTTCTCGATAACTCACTTGAATTTGATTTATGCATGGTCTTCACATTTTGGAACATAATCAGGAATTCAATTTCACGGAGTACAATGAAGTGAAGAAATGCTATCCTCATGGATATCACGGAGTTGATAGATACGGTAGACCCGTGTATATTGAGAGAACTGGGATGGTAGACCTTAACAAACTGGGAGAAGTAACCACATTTGAAAGGTTTATCAAATATCATGTGTCAGAGCAAGAGAAAACTCTGAAAGTAAGATACCCTGCATGTTCACTAGCTGCTAAAAAGCACATAGCATCCACTACAAGTATCTTGGATGTCAATGGAGTAGTAAGCACATTTTTTTTTATATATATATTTTGCCCTTTTAGTAGAACTAGCTTGCAATTTTGCTGTCAATGGAGTACTATATTGTTATGCTCTATCTAGGTTCATTTCACTTCCATGTCTGTATAATAAGGTATCTAAATACTGATACAATTATTTGGTTCTTACAGGGGATGTCTAATTTCTCAAAGCCCGCAAGATACCTCTTTACGGAAATTCAGAAAATCGATAGCTGTTACTATCCTGAGGTATTTTATTTTTTTTCCAGATAGTTGCTCATATGCCAGATGATTGATATGCTTGGGATAAATGTGTGAAATTGGAGGTCAATTTATCTGAGGATAAGACAAGTTTTCAAGTTAGCACTTAGCACTGATTCATTATAACAAAAAAAATATAATCTATAAAATGTAGTCTCAAGTTTGCAATCAAAATTTCGGCTACATTCAGGGTGTAATTGTCATTTATAATTTTATATTAAGTTGGGGAACGGAAGAGGAAAAAAAAAAAAAAAGAAGAATCAAAAGAGTTGCAAACCTCAGCTATTTGTATTTCTATCGCTAAATATAGTTTGCCTTCGTGTTTTTGATCTCTCACCTTGAGATATTGATATTCTCTTTGGATGCAAGGTTGAACACTTGAATTTATTATTATACTTCGCATGAAGGCATGCCAGAATTTGTACTCAAAACAGTTTGCTAAGATTTTTTTAATCGTGCAAGATTGAGAGGAGATGCTTAACTAAAAGTTGGGTTTATGAGATCAGTGCGCAGTTAACTATGGTATTCATTCTTTGTTCTTGCAGACTCTAAATCAGCTCTTTATTATTAATGCCGGATCTGGGTTTAGGATGCTGTGGAAAGCAATAAAAGCATTCCTAGATGCACGCACAGTATCAAAGATTCAAGTATGAATATATATTATATAAATTCATATCCTATTTTAAATTCCAGTTTTCATCTTATTTAAAATTATCTTTATTTTTATTTTGTATAAAGAAATACATTAAAAAAATTACATGTTAAACTATATATTAATACAAATTAAAAATATAAATAATATGTATATATATAATATATTTACAATTAATATTACAAAATAATATATGTAATATCTACATAGATATTATATTATTAAATATATAATTTAGAATTGATAATATATTATAAAAGTTATTTAAGTTGCATATATTATAGACAAATATATTAGAATAAGTATTTATTCTTATGCTTAATAAGACTCTTTGTTCTTCCATTAACAAATTCAATTCTCATTGTTATTTTTGTGGTTTGTGGTCCTTTAAAAAAATTTATAAAAAAAATTGTGGTTGAACCGGTTTGACCCACCGATTCACTGGTCTGAACCCTCCTCATATATATATATATATATATATATATATACTTTATTCGGTATCAAATTTTGACGCTTCTGTTTGTCCATTTTGACAAGTCAACGATTAATTTAGTTGCATGGCGAGGGAATCATGGCTTAAAATAAGCTTAAACCCTATTTAAATTAGTAACCCACTTTAGTTCCATGATTTATGTTGGTTCCTCTTCCATAAGAATGCATTTATGTTTTGTGGTTGACTGACTCTGACTATCAATATCAGAGTACAGTGATCTTTTTAAAAGGATTAAGACACACTTTGGGGGACTCAATGAAATTACCCTGCTGGTCTTCTCATATGAATTGGGTAGTTATTAGTGGGGATGGAACCAGAGCTATATTATCACTCTCTACTTCCCAATCAATTAATCATATCTCTAAAAATCGAATAAAGAAAAGGAATGTCAACTGTTATAGTGTGAACAAAAAGGTTTAACCAAAACTGAATATCAATAAGTTGTTAAATGATTTCCGGTTTGAATTATCCTTAAACTTTTATTAATCTAAGGAATCTGGTTTTTTTTTTTTTTTGACTTTGAACTAAAGAGGCTTATGCTTTCGGGCGGCACAATATGGGACGTGGTTGTGGACATCATAGTTTATCAGCAGTGCTAATTAGTCAAAGCATTTCTGCCGTCCCAGATATAAATGACAATTTTTCTTCTGGAAACCTTGTAACGTACTCCAGTTGTTTGCCCAATTAATGGTGGTCTAGTCAAATACTGGTATATAATCTAATGAAAATTTGTGCCTAATATGCGTGTGATGACCGTTGTCGTATTGTTGCTTCTTTTACTGCACAAGTGACTCAAAATTTAAAAGGAAACGGAAACAATCCAAGTCATATTTGCTTTACTTCGTAGAAATCAGAGTAATCAAATTGCAAGGAAATTTGTGCCCCCATTAACATACTTGTTCTGCCTTCGACATTACAAATTGCAATTTTGTCAAACATCATAAAAATATCTATATACATTTTTTTTGGTAATGGCTAGATACATAAATCAGTGCAACTTAGGCTATAGCGGTCCTTTTCAGTTGTTCTCCTTTTCCCTATACCAATGGCGTGTTAAAAGAAAAAAAACAAAATCGTCAACATAAAAAGACAGAAAAGTAAATTATAAAAATGTTTAAAATAATATAATTTAAAATTCGAGATGTGGAATAAATATACACATTAGCACTTGGCCCAAAATGGCTTATCCACCTCACTCCTTATATTCACGGGCCAAACTTATCTAAAGAGCGACAGACCCCATTATATCCAGTGAATGACTTCTTATAAATCGATGTTTATTAAGTAACAGAGAATCTGACTAAGCAACAACATTTAGATACGTTGGCAGAGATAACCTAAAGGCTAAAGAAAAGATAAGATTAGAGAATCAGTAACAGAAAAATAGTGCAGGTTGATCTAGCTTGACTTTAGTTCTTACTATCTCGAATCTACCAGATTATCCTCCGAGAATCTCAAGGTACTTGGCATCCCGCAATTTGCCTCCATTGATCTCACTCAAACCTTTACAAAATTAAAATACTTCCATTCATTAAAAATTCAAAACAAATTACCCACAGAAACTCAAATAAAATACCGATTAACTAAAAACACAGCTGCGTTCACACAAAGGGAAAAGAAAAACACCATCCTAAGAACAAAATAAACTAGGAATATTAAATAGAAAGTGCTTGGCATCCTAACAATTGGCATCAACTTGTTTCTTAGCCGGCTTCACGAATTTTTTCCAAAAGGGATGATTTTGCCACACGCAATGCATTTCTTCAATTGGGATTCCTTTAGTTTCTGGCAGAAACTTGTAAATGAAGACATTCATGACCACCACACAAAATGCAAAGAAAATGAACAACCCAAACTTCATGTGGCATAACATGGCGGTGAAAATTTGAGAAATGGAGAAAGTGAAGATCATGTTGGTGGAAACATTGATACTTTGAGCAGCAGATCGAACTTCAAGTGGAAAAATCTCACTAGGTACCAACCATCCTAAAGGGCCCCAAGACCATGCAAATCCTGCCACATACACGCAAATAGCTACCACCACAGCTGTGGCATACCACGTGGGCAACACACCAGGGTTTCCATTTAATCCGAACTTATATCCAATTGCCGCTGTTATAAACATCTGCACTCACACCCAAAACAAATCATCTCATCTGTATTACAAAAAAGTAATTAAGAAAATTAATTTAAGCAAAAGAGAAGAAGCTGAATGCGTGCATGTACCTGACACAAGAACATTTGAGCCCCACCTTGCAAGAAAAGAGTGCGTCTCCCAAACTTGTCAACCGTTGCAATGGAAACAAGGGTGGCGGCAGCGTTAGTACCTCCAGTGATCATAGCAGACATGAGGGAAGCATTGGCACCGAATCCAATGGTTTTAAACAAAACAGGAGCGTAGAATGTTATGACATTCATGCCAGTGAGTTGCTGAAAGGCTGGAATGGCAATTGCCATGGTGAGATGAGGCCTGTAGGCCCTAGTCAGCAAAGAAGCCCAAGGGTGTTTCACCGCTTTCGATGATTCACTCGCTGCAATCAAATCTTTAAGCTCCTCATCAACGTTGGTAGTGCCGCGAATTTTTATCAACTGCCTTTTGGCTTCTTCTTCTTCACCACGCTCAATCAAGGAATTTGGTGTATCGGGAAGAAAGATTGCACCTAAAATTATCATTATTGCAGGAACTGCGGCACAACCCAAACTGTAGCGCCACCCTTCTCCATTCTCCATTTTGTTGAAAAGGTAGTTGAGAACATTTGCCACAAATAAGCCTATGGTGATCAACAATTGGAACATCATGTTAAGAGCTCCTCTATACTTGTAGGGAGCAACCTCAGACACGTAAATTGGCACAGACTACAGAAGAAAAAAAACCGAAAAAGACACGCACGCTATCAATTCATACATGCATGCATATTGCATAACTATTGACGTACCAATAGAATCAGAAATAGAATATATATATTAATTAGTAACATGCACAATGAATGTTGTATAAAATAAAATAATAACCTGATTGGCACATCCAACTCCGAAACCAAGTAACATGCGGCCAACGATGAGCATCCACACATGTTCGGCGAAAGCATTCAATCCAGCACCAACCAGAAAAAGCAAACCTCCAGAAATCATGGTAAGTCGTCTCCCAAAGATTCGAGTTGCGGTGGATGCCCCGACTGAGGCCACAAAAGCAGCCAGGTACAGAGAGGAAGTAAACAACGTTAATACTTGGCTATTGAATTTGCAGTACTGATTTTGGTTGGGCGATTCATTGTGCTCCTTTTCATACACTTCAGGGAAAAATTTCTTCAAAAACGGATCCATAGACGTAACTCCACCTGTCGTTAATAAACAAATTATTCACGCAAGCAGATCGTACAAACAACACTATAATGAATTATAACACATTAAATGTAAGTATGTAACTTTTGGATGAAAAAACACACCCGAAATTCCGAGATCATAGCCCTCCAAATGCAGCAACGAAACAAGTAATAAAAACTCGGAAAGTAAGCTTTCCGGGATAATCTTTTCCAGAGGCATTGCCGTCTAGTATAACCCCTCCTGCCATTGTGGGTGACTGATGGAGGAGTTGAAAATGAAAGCTTTGTGAGTGCTGATGGAGGGAGAAGCAGAAATGAAAATTTATGAATGACGAACAAACTACTTCTAAACTTGAAATATATAGCTTCTAAAATATATTCTCTTCTAACAGAGTAGCTTTTCAGATAAAGTTTTAAGTATATTTCAGATCTTCTTATTAACAAAATTTAAACTGAAAAGCATAAAGATCTATTTAAATATATACTTACACTAGTGACATTTTTTTATATATATTACTGTAATATTTTTTTAAAAGTATTTAGTAAGTACATTTTAGTCTTAAATTTGTTTTCAAAAAAATATATTTTATTTTCTCAATCTCTGACATATTTTTTAATAATTGAAATTAAATAGACTGACCTTTGTACTTAAGAGAAGAATTTTTTAAAACAAATAAATAAATGTGAATTTTTATTTCTTTCTTTTATAGATTATTATTTGTTAATGACTAAGTAAATTTCATGATATTAATATCTGTATATTTTTTTATATAATGTTCTAAAAAATACAAAACGTCCAAAAAACTACACAGCAAAACCAAATTTTCCCCATGATTTGCAGAGCAAAGTATGGAGGGGTTCCCCCACGTTACATTACGATTTACGTGCATTAACAGCAAAAGAAATGTTCCAGTTTTTCTTTACTATTGCTTTTATGTGAAGTTGTGAACTATGACATCTCCATGTTCATGCAAAATGAATCTATCCTGAGTTAGACCTCGTGCAACAACTACAGCTTCAACACAATCAGATTCACAAATGATTTCCCTAAAACCCATTGCCAGCAGTACTCCAGACCTACCTTAATATGGCCAAAAGCTCTGCCTCAAAGTCAGGAGGAAGAGAGGAGACTTGGAGGAGCCATCGTCTCCCATTTTTCAAACTAAAGAGACCAAATTTATTATAAACAAATTTTGAAACCAAAATTATAACAACTAAAAGTAAATTTAGATCTTTCACAAATCATATTTAGTTAATGCTTACCATAAGAATTTCAGGATGATAAAAATTAAAAAATACAGAATATATTCATCTAAATTTAGTTGCGCTTACGATTATTTTTTAATCAATAGCAATACTAAGTTATTTCCGGTCCTTAATGATGCATTCATACATTTGCCTTTTATATTTTTTTAAATTTTTTTCTTTATTAAAAATATTATTTATATTTTATTTTTAACATTTTGTTATTCTTTTAATTTTGTATTTAATTAATTCTATGGTATTTTTAATCAATTATTTTATTTTTTAATTTTATTATAGATATGCATATATTATCTCTTTATGCACTCTCTTGCCATTATGTTCACAATTTTTTTAATCAAGTAATAATTTCTAGGGTTAACGATAAAAAAATTCAGATAAAATTTGGTGTATATTTCTGTTTAACTAGGCATATATCTTTCAGTTATTTGAAAAAAATTAGATGACAAAATTTAAATTGAAAGCATAAATATCTATTTATTTTTTTAATTTATTTTTTTAGAGTCTGCTCACCGGATAATCAAATATTTGTTAAGAGGAAAAAAGCATAAAACAAATTTATACACAACTCAAATAATTAATAATTAAATATTTTATAAATTTTTAATTAAATTACAAACTTGGCCGATTAATATATAGGAAAACTAAGCAAATTTTATAACATGTGAATCTGGTAGCTATATATATCATTTAATTTGTATACGTTTATTGGATGGATTTTATAAGTAGAAAAGATCCAGTAGTGCATGGTATAAACTTAATAAATATATTGATAAAAACATTCTAATAATATTTTTTCTATGGTTCAAATGATCAAGTTTAATAATATTAAAATGATTGAAGAATTATTTAAAATTAAATTTAAAGCGTCACACATTAAAGACTATAATAGTGAAATTAAAGTTTTTATTAAATACTTTAATAGAAAAAATTAATCTAGACAATACCACTCGCAAAGTCGCAATACATTTAAATAGCATTTTGCTAAAACCTAAAAGAAACTAGAAAAAAGAAAGAGAATGTTGCATTCTAACACTCGGCGTTAGCTTGTTTCTCAGCTGGCTTCACAAAATTTTTCCAATAAGGGTGTTTTTGCCACACGCAATGCATTTCTTCGATTGGGACTCCTTTAGTTTCTGGCAGAAACTTGTAGATGAATATGTTCATGATCACCACAAAAAATGCGAAGAAAATAAAGAGTCCAAACTTCATGTGACATAGCATGGCGGTGAAAATTTGAGCAATGGCAAATGTGAAGATCATGTTGGTGGAAACATTAATACTCTGAGCAGCAGATCGAACTTCAAGTGGGAAAATCTCACTGGGAACCAACCATCCCAAAGGACCCCAAGACCATGCAAATCCAGACACATACACGCAAATAGCTACCACCACAGCTGTGGCATACCACGTTGGCAACACACCAGGATTTCCATTTATTCCGAACTTATAAGCAATTGCCACTGTTATCAACATCTGCAAGTACACCCAAAACAAAACAAATGTTTATTACTCAAATTATGTACACATTAATTTATTTAGAGAAGTAATAAGGATGATTCGGCCTAGTGGGTTTAGTTGCCTAATTTGGCAAAATTATAGTGTATTTATGGCGACCAGACCAGTCATTAACAGAAGATCTTCCATTAAAATGGACAACATAGCTACACTAGACTAGTGCATATTCTTGATTCTTATATCTGACTGAAACGCTTTCTCTCATGTTGCGGACATCAATCAGTGTAAGGGAGCAGCGGATCAATACAATGCTTCAGTCACTCAAGATTAACAAAAGTAGGGAGAGGGAGAGATAAGAATAACCATAAAACATGAGTGAAGTTGGTTTGGATAAGAAAATGTAAGCTGGAGTTGAAGTTTTCAGATCATAATTTTTTACCCATTTGGCACAGAATCATTTTATTCGAGAATCATTCCACATACCTATATGTGCAATGCAGAATAAGAAATATAACTAATATGTGTTGAAGGGCAAGAAAAGCAGATACAATTCCAATTTGATTCCATTTCCAAAATGGCATGGTGAGTTGGAGTAGTATATATATGTATTAGATTTTATTCATATTTATTATTGAAATTCCAATCCATAAAAGCATAACAAAACAAAAGACGGAAGTTGAATGCACATAACATACCTGACAGATGAACATTTGAGCCCCACCAAATAAGAAAAGGCTACGTCTCCCGAACTTGTCAACCGTTGCAATGGAAACAAGGGTGGCGACAGCGTTACAACCTCCGGTGATCATAGCAGACATGAGGGAAGCATTGGCACCAAATCCGATGGTTTTGAACAAAACAGGAGCGTAGAATGTTATGACATTCATGCCAGTGAGTTGCTGAAATGCTGGGATGGCAATGGCCATGGTGAGATGGGGCCTGTAGTGCCTTGTGAGCAAAGAAGCCCAAGGGTGTTTAACAGCTTTCGAGGATTCACTCGCTGCAATCAAATCTTTTAACTCCTCCTCAACGTCGGTGGTGCCGCGAATTTTTATCAACTCCTCTTTGGCTTCCTCGTCTTTACCACGCTCGATCAAGGAATTTGGTGTATCAGGAAGAAAGATTGCACCTATAATGATCAGTATCGCAGGAACTGCAGCAAAACCCAAACTGTAGCGCCAGCCTTCTCCATTCTCCATTTTGGAGAAAACGTAGTTAAGAACATTGGCTACAAATAAGCCTATGGTGATCAACAATTGGAACATCATGTTAAGAGCCCCTCTGTACTTGTAGGGAGCAACCTCAGACACATAAATCGGTACAGACTGCGGACAAAACAAAACAAAAAAGGTCACTCAATCAATTCATGCATAAACTAATTCTTTTTTGTTTTATTTTATTTCATGTTTACGGGTTTTTTTTGCAAAACTTAAAATATATAACTCATATGTTTAATTTCATAAAAAAATATACAACTTTTTAATATATCTCTTTTAGATTCTTCCTCATTAAAACATGTGTTAATAATGATTAGAAGTATAATTAAAAAAATTAATGTTATATTTTATTATAAAACGATAATTAAAATTGAAAGTAATTAAAATATAAAAACGTCAAACAAATAATAAGAAAAATAAATTAATATTTTAATTATACATTATAATGATAAAAAATTGTTTTTATATAATTAAATTTAAAATATTTTTTATATTTAAAATTATATTACAATTAAAATTAGTAATAAATAAATACATTCAAACATACAAACAAAATTTTAAATTTTAATAAAGTTATTGATAAATTCTTAAAAAGGTCTATTAAAATTAAATTAAACGACAGAAAAAAAAAATTAATTTGACTGAAAGGTTAGGTAATAAAAACATTTAATTATACAAAAAGAATATATTTTGACATAATCCAAATTAAGACAATCTTTTTATAATTAATTGTAAAAATAGCGTGTAAAATTCATAATATTTAAAATTTTGGAAAGTTGATCTTAACCTTTGTTGAGGGAGGTGAATGGTGTGATTGAATTAGTAGTTAAATAAGGAACTACAAATTTGACACTTTAGAGAACATAATGAAATAATGTTTAAGATAAAAAATAATTACCTGATTGGAACATCCAATTCCACAACCGAGTAACAAGCGGCCAACGATAAGCATCCATACTCGTTGGGCGAATGCATTCAATCCAGCGCCAGCCAGGAAAAGCACACCACCAGAAATCATGGTAAGTCGTCTTCCAAACACTCGAGTTACTGTGGATGCTCCGATTGATGACACGAGAGCTGCCAGGTACAGAGAGGAAGTAAACAACGTTAATATTTGGCTGTCAAACTTGCAATACTGGTTCACCGAGGCCTTTATGTTGTGCTCCTTTTCATACACGTCTGGAAAAAATTTCTTCAAAAATGGATCCATTGAGGTAACTCCACCTGTCATTAATAATCAAATTATTCATGCAACCACAATTACAACACACTGAATATAAATAATACTTGAATCAGAAACAAACCCGATATGCCAAGATCATAGCCAAAAATTAGTCCTCCAAATGCAGCAACAAGACAAGTAACAAATACTCTGAAAGTAAGTTTTCCTGGATAATCTTTTCCAGAAACATTGCCTCCAACAATGACGCCTCCTGCCATTTTGCTAAGGGATTGAGGGAGCAGAAAGCGGAATCGGTGTGACTGTGACTTTGTGAATGCTGAACAACACCTGCAGCTTTAGAATATATAAGGTATTCAAAGATTAATGATAATTATAAAAAAACAATTAATTATATCTATATCTAACCATAACAGATTACAGTTTCGGATAAATTTTGGTATATCTTTCTGTTATTTTAAGATCTATTTGGATAACAAAATTTAAACAGAAACTAGCAAAATCTATTTAGTCTTTTTTTAATTTATTTTTTCTTAAGAGAATCAGCTAACTTTTTATAAGAAACAACATTTATTTTTTTTAAATGAAAACAATCATAAAACTAAGTTATTCACAAATAATTAAATGCTTTAATTGTAAATTTTTTATTAAATTATTATATAACTAAGTGAGTTTTATAATCTGCAAATTTGGTATATACAAACTATAATAAAGTTAACATAACACATAATTATCACAGTTATTTAATATATATATAT